GATATCATAAGCGTGGTCCCTGATGCAGTGCAGCACGTTCGCGTTTTTTGATGCTATTTGTAATAGTAAGATCGCTCTTCCATCAGAAACTAAACATTATGGTAACCCTGAATGAGCAGTGCAGGCACTGCTAATTCGCAGTGCCTGCGCTGTGTAGCTTGTAATAGAACATCGCTCTTCTATCGAAATCTAATCAGAATTATCATGTAGGATTTTAAAAACCTTCATATATTTAAAAACGAAAACCCACAAAAACGAGTTTTTGTGTTTTTTTCTCCCGTAAATTGTCTTACAATTTTTGAAGTCGATTTTAGGCGATATTTCTCGGCCAGGCTAAGTGTCCTCATCACTTTCCATGATTGCATGATTGCAAACTTGTTCACCCCTTCATGAAAGTTGAAGAAATAGCGAATATGGTGCCTTGAAAATATAAATTGAAAATTCTAATTATGAATGGAAATTCTAATTATAATCTTCTAGTTACTTGAAGTCCTCTTCTATTTTATAACTTGGGGAGCAACATAGGGACCTCTAGTGACCTCTTGATTGATTACCTGCATTAGGTCTTCAACTTCTATGACATTACATGAGTACGTTCATTTTTGTTGCAACCCCACCTTAATCTTCTGAAGCGTTCTGCCATGGGAGCATAAGTTACCGGGCCAGCCAATGATACAATTCTACAAAATGACCCGAAGATAGGCTATAGCTCTCACTCGGTGCAGTGAGCGGCACTGATTTGCAAATAAATGCCAGCAATACTTGATGCACGAATCCATGCGAGCTAATGGTACTAGCAAAATAAATTGAAAACAACCATTCATATGGAGCCTTTTACGAGTTGTGAACTGTCTGCGGTATATGAATGCATCGACAATGTCGATACGTTGTGTGCATGTCAAGTCATCACGCGCCTGTTACGCAGCCTGCATATAAATGATCGCGTTCAATCATGAATCTCTCTCAAATAATTTTAAATTCGATATAAGCGAGTCTTGCTTATCATAAAACATTTTGAGTTTTTACGGTCTCCACAATGCGTAGCTTCTCACCGATGTCATTCTTTGCCTTAGAAAAAAGTTATATTATTTTCTACCTAATATTGTGTTTCGTATGGTAACACATTTTATCCTGGAAATGCGAAGGATTATGCTGGTCTGTCTGTCAGAAGGCAAAACAAAAAAGGATTTTGGGGGATGATAACACGTTTTTGAACTATGTAAAGATTGAAGTGCTGAAATTCAGACATTCCCGCAAACTGCTCGTTTGCAGTGTCTGCGCTGTGAAGTTTTTGTAGGGCAGAATTTTCTTGCCCCAAGAACGTAGTTGCGCAATATTAGTGACACGTTTACTTGTCGAAATTATTCTGAGCACTATTTGTACCCGAAATATTTTTTTTCACATCTAGATAGATTATGTGCAAGAGGAAGTGGTTTAATAACTTCCTCAGTGAAGAGGGCTATGAATGAATGAATGAATGAATGAATGAATGAATGAATAAATGAATGAATGAATGAATGAATGAATGAATGAATGAATGAATGAAGTCTGAGTAAATGATTGGTATAGGTGAAAGATCGGTGAGCGATACCCTGAAACATTTAGCCGTCGCTGCCTTCACCCATGTGAAGCAAAATTCAACAGTTCAGCACTGACACGAACATGACAAAGGGCGAAGTGGTAAACTTTGGTTCCTTTTCTTTTTTTCTTCTACAAGCTCACTTAGTTCATTTTTAAAGCATATCACTGAACACTGTACATATTTTAACTGGTAACAAGTTGCAGATAACACGTACACAAAACCCACAGACAGTGTTATATCGCTCTTTGTTCGGATAGTAATATTCAAAATGTACTTGAACAATATTCTGTCCACTTTTCAATGACGTAAAATGTTGTTACGCTGTATATTTACACATTAGACATAATTACATACACGATCTAGAATGATCTGTTTTGTTCCTTTTAGTTTTGTCAGGCCTATAGGTTAAAAGAAAAAGCAACAAACAGTCTGCACCATGCACCAGCACGCGTTTCAACTGATATATATATATATATATATATATATATATATATATATATATATATATATATATATATATATATATATATGTATGTATGTATGTATGTGTGTGTGTGTGTGTGTGTGTGTGTGTGTGTGTGTGTGTGTGTGTGTGTGTGTGTGTGTGTGTGTGTGTGTGTGTAAAAATACCGCATAAACAACAATTAGATATACCCTCAAAATATTCAGGGGTGGAATGTTACTCGCAGGGTTTTTCGCAACTTCAATTTCATTACACTTTATATATTGCTTCTAACCCACACGAAGTGATTCAGATAGACGAAAGGAAAGGGAAGGAGATAAACGTGGGTTAAATTTGTTTCTTCCTTGCTTCTATTTCATGAATTCCGTAATAGCAGGAGGTTCTACAACGACATTCTAAAATAAAGAAACTTTTTACACTTAACTTAAACTTAAAGTGTTTTACACTTAACAATATATGAACTGCATTCAGTGATTCAGTGATGAAAACAGCTATGCCTTATCACAATTACTGGTGCAACAACGTAGAATGTTTGAGAACACTATTCAAATGCTATTCGAGCCATTTTAGTGCTATCAACGACATTTTGACTGGATGTATATAATGAATGAGTTCCCACATCATCAATTGCAGGTCTGATGCTTGCGCACAGACATTGAACCTTGAAATACATCTCATAAAAAGTATCCATGAAACCAATATTGTATCAAACACTTACGTTTTCTCAATATTGTGGCCAACTAAACACATCAGTAGTGTAGCCAACGAAACACACCTGAGACCTCTACGTATACATGCTCACAAAAATACTTGTCATAAAAGCAGGGCACACATTTCCCCATTGAATGCAGGAACAACGTCGGTACCAGCTATGGTTTCACAGCTGTTGAAACGCTGCCGTGAGCGCTGCATCATATGAATAAGGTTCGAAGACGAAAAAAAAACAAAAAAAAACACCGCGGTCGGGCAATGCGTCTAAGACGTCAGGGTGCCATGTGGTGCCTCTGTCACTATATATAGAGGAAAATGGAGCACAAACTGGAGCCACTTCAACACAGCACCATCCTTCGAGACACCGCACAGGTGAGTTTTAACCTACACAAGATGACCAGCCCACGTGTAGGAATGCGCAACGTTGTCTGAGTTCTCTCTTTTTTTTCGTCGCTTTTTTTTCTCTATTCACGCAATATGGTATGCTCGTTCGCACATTGAACACTTGACACAGCACAACTTTTCAAGCATGGCTACGCGAAAGAATTATCAGTCAGAACACGCGTCATGCCTATAAGCCTTCGCGTGCAGAAAGGGCGATTCCACAGCGTCCGAAAATCTTTTCCGCTTGTAAGTAGTTTGCAGTGCTTGCTTCCAAAAATGTTGTATGGCTTCTAGGAAGACACGCCACGCCATCTTCCGGAAATTTCAAACGCTGTCTGTGTAGCAACAATGAACTTTACGCAGAAAAGACAAAAAAAAGCAGCTACACACACTGCAGTCAACTTTCCTGATCTACGGCGCCCCGCCGCGGTGGTCTAGTGGCTAAGGTACTCAGCTGCTGACCCACAGATTGCGGGATCGAATGCCGGCTGCGGCGGCTGCATTTTCGATGAAGGTGCAAATGTTTTAGGTTCGTGTGCTCATATTTTGGTGCTCGTTAAATAACCCCAAGTAGTCGGAGCTCTCTACTACAGAGTCTCTCATAATCATATGGTGGTTTTGGGACGTTAAATCTCCTATATCAATCAATATACAATCAACAGTGTAAAATGTATACATGTGTACACACTGCATTTGCACGCTAGCCCTTGATACCTTAAAACCATTTGTTACGTCGTTAATCCGCCAACGTCAAACGAGACTGATACCTGCAGAATCTGAGCACATTAAATAATCTTTACCCCGTGTATAGGGGTGACTGCGCGCATTCACGTTTTGTGCACCAAGGTAGCTCATCGAATACGTTATTTGCGTTCTGCAGTAAACAATGCATAATTCATTCGTTAGTCGTTGGCTGCCAGAGATTTTGCAGCCAACCACTGCCACGGTACATGTTGAAGTGGCTGTAGCACCTTCATCACCATCATGATTTCCTAATCACCACGCCGCGCCTGCCGCGCAGTGGATGCCTAGCTCGAGCTGGGCGAGAACAGAACAATTTAACGCGCCTGGCGTAAAGGACGCTGCCAGCCGCAGCCGCTGAGCTATGACCCGAGGAATAAAGTGGCGAGATTGGCACAGCCACGTCAGCCCCCTTTACAACGTCGTCTCACGTCTCACTCTCTCTCGCTACATGGCTGCCACATTAACGCCCGTTCCCATCCACACGTTGCTTCTCGATTTACCGTAGCACTAACTGACAAGACGCTGTAGTCGTGCGACGGTTCTGCGTTTCTAAACGAAGCTCGTTACACAACGAGTATGATTACGAGAGGCGTCTGAGTTAGATGAGCGCCCTGCTTTTAAAATAGAGAGTTCGCAAGAGATTTGCGTCATAGCTTCCCGGAAACTAAGAGTGTTGACTGGCATGGCGCAACACGCCTCCAGGATAACTTCGTAAAAGTGTTCATTTTGTGGAATGAGAGAGTTCCGCTGCTATTTTGCCCAGGCTAGTAGCAGTGGCCAGCCCAAAAATCTCGGGCGACGATGAAAACAGATTTAGTTGGCTCGTGAGCACGGGGAAACGTTCGCAAAACTTCACAGCTCTTCTCTTCAAACCATGAAAAAAAAAAGAAAACATTGTGGCCGTTGTTATTCAAAGATTTCACTTACAATGCGACTGCGTCAGGAAAGTTAATTTAACCCCGAACTGAACCTAGTCAACGTCCCGCATTCCTGCTGCATCTGGCCCTGTCATCATCTGCGATTGGTCTACGCATACGTGACATTGAAGCTCGTTTTTGTTCCGGAGCGGATAGATCACAGGCCTCCAAGAACGACCGCGGTGTTTTTTCGCACGTTTCAGGATTGCAGTCGCACCGACAGCTGCGTCATGATAGACGAATGTCCGTAGACGATCTCTTCTTGGGGTCGGCGAGCGCAGCAGCGGATGCGAGCCTGGAATTCGGCGTTGAATTTCTCCTGCATAAATGCAACAAAGGAAACATAAGCGAAACTAAACAAATATCAAAAAGTGTTATTCAGAATTGTTAAAATCTCGTACATAGCAGGCCACTACTATACGACCATTATTATAAATAGTAGAAATCAACACTAAAGTAATAGAGGCAGCCCATTCCTTGTTATATATATATATATGTATATATATATATAAAAGATAATTGTTTGTGTGAGCGCAATAACACATTAAAGATGGAGGAGCAGAGGGGCTCACCAACGAATGATCAAAACTTTTATAACTATGTTCTCTTCGTACGCTTATACGCAATACCACCACCCGTCAATCGGCTCACAACAAAATACGAAGTCATAGGTGGCTGGATTCGCTATTCGTTCTCCCAGGTCATTGCAGGTAGAACACAGCATCTGGTAAGCTTCAAGCGCTTGAGGTAAACCAATAGGAGCAAAACAAGGGAAGCCCCAAGGTGGTCAGGAGCTGATGTTTGATTAAAACGCCTTGCCCGCTTCACCGCTAAGTATTTTTTAAAATTGCGTCACCCACGTTTGTAAATTGCTCTCGAGTAATGCTCTTGTGCTCCGTTTATATATTAGTGCCGATAAAACAAACAGCATTACGTACATATTGAACATTTTTTGTGAATAGTGCTTGGCATACGCAACACTTTTTGGCCGTATATATATACACACATATATTCATATGATTATATGTGGTGTTTAACGTCCCAAAACCGCCATATGATTATGAGATACGCCATAGTGGAGGGCACCGGAAATTTTGACCACCGGTGGTTAAATAGCGCCAAGTTCACGTGCTACGTGCCGCCAAACATGCGAATAAGAGTGTTTTCACACTCGTCGCTCGGCTTATAGATGGCGCTGACTGTCACTTCTACTTTTAAATTCACATATAAACCCCAAAAAAAAGTGGATGAAGGGAAGACCGCTGTGATAGCTCAGTGGTTAGAGCATCCAACGCGTTATTCGAAGGTCGTAGGTTCGATTTCTGCTCATGGCTGGTTATTTGTTCATCCACTTTTCTTTCTTCTTTCTTCTTATTTACATTCCATTGGTTCTAACAACTTCCCCTGTACATTCCTTGGCATTACTGTCTGTTAGATCTCATTAATATTGTGTTAAAACACGGAAAAAACGAGCTCTTAGGTATACACTTCTTTCCCTTATATATATATATATATATATATATATATATATATATATATATATATAATATATATATATATATATATATATAATATATATGGTTCAATTCCTGCTCACGGCTGGTACATTTCTTCTAATAACTCCCCGTACACATTCCTTGGCATTATTGTCTGTTAGATCTCATTATATTATGTCAAAACACGGAAAAACGAGCCCTGAGGTATACACTTCTTTCCCTTATTCATTGACGAGGCTCTCGTACTGGCAGACTTAGTGCCGTTAGGTTGTACACGGGGGACTATTGGTCAGCTGCCCGCTCGTAATAAGTTCACGTGCTACGTGACGCCACACATGCGCATAAAAGGGTGTTTCACACTAGCCGCTTGGCTTACAGATTGTGCTGACTGACGCTCCCACTTCTAAAGTCACATATAAACCCAAAAAAGTGGATAGAGGGAAGGCCGCTGTGATAGCTCAGTGGTTAGAGCATCGGACGCGTTATTCGAAGGTCGTAGGTATTCCTACTCACGGCTGGTTATTTTTTCACCCAATTTTCTTGTTTCTTGTTTACATTAAATTTGTTCTAATAACTTCCCCTATATATTCCTTGGCTTTATTGTCTGTTAGATCTCATTATATTGCGCCAAAACACGGAAAAATGACCCCTTATGTATACACTTCTTTCCCATATATATATATATATATATATATATATATATATATATATATATATATATATATATATATATATATATATATATATATATGACAAGAACTCTGCATATCAACATACACCAGGAGCCCCACACCACGAGCCACACCTACCCAACAACACAGGTGAGTTCCCGACGATCGGCGAAACTGTGACTCCCGCGAGCCACAAGCACCCCCTCACCATCATCAACAGCGCACCACTACTAGGAGGGAAGTCTGCTGAACAGCCAACACGCGTCCCTCCATATCGGATGTCGAGACCAAAAGCACTACACGACAGCACCACTACACCACTCCTCAAAGGGAAGCCTGCCGAACTACGAAACCGCGTCCCCCTATTGCGGACCCCGGAACTGCCTACGAACACGTTCGCCGGGGGCCCAACGCCGAAATCATCCCTACAACGACGAAGGCCTGCCGGACATAACTACAACCTGCGCACCTCATCAGTGCCATCCACGTACCCAAAAGAAGATTGACTTCTGAAATGTAAGTCCAGCTCATCACTTCCCAGTTCCAGTGCCACTTTCCTTAAAGTACGAAAACTTGCTGACAAACGAATTAGACATGAAATGCATAAATCAACATTGCAAGTGTACCTTCGTGCTAGAATAGCCCCCAAGGGTATGACACTCTCCCTCACACCAGCCGCTACAAATCTAGACGAACACGACCAAATAACATGGAAAAATGTTCTCCTTGAGGCATCTCTTAAATTAACAGAAATCGCTCTTATTCAAAGTGATAAGCAGGTAAAGAAACTGGTCGCTATGACCAACACCATTCTCCGCCACAACACTTAATCGAACGAAGAAATCACCGAATTAACAGAATTTGAACAGAATAAATACCAAGCCATCATGATCACGAAAATTCATAAACTCAAAAGAGACCATGTGCCCAAACCCGCGTTCCCTGATATAGTTCCTTATCACTACAACACCACCACCCAGGAAACCACTAACGGTACAAACGAGTACCCATCTAAGAGCACACCCTGTGACACTGTGGTTGCAAACTTATCGGACACGAGCTTGTCACCTGACGAAGAAAAACTGCTATCTAAGGGACTAAGCTTCTGCCCGACCACAAAATTTTTCGATGAATTCCACTTGCTCCGAGAGCTCGACAACTTCGCTCGAAGCTTAAGGTTGCGCGAATATTTCTTGGACAGGCCTTCTAACCACGAAACAATTCACCGTCGTAAATCAAATGATTGGACACCGAACAGTAATCGAGACAAGTGCTTGGACCTTTATATCACCGCAGTACAGAAAGATATAGTACACGAATACCACAGACACAAATGAAACCGAGAAAACTTGACAAAATTTGAAAAAATAAGTATGAGAAATTTGGCATCTAGGACAGACATAACAATAAAACCCGCTGACAAAGGAGGAGCAATTGTAGTCCTTAATACAACCAACTACTTACCAGAAGCATACCGCCAACTAGACGACTCAAGATTTTACGAACGCCTCCCAGGTGATCCGACGGACGAATACAAACATACCGTATCAACAGAACTAAAGAAACTGTTGGATGCAGAAAAGATAACCAACACTGACCACAAACTGATGCGAGCAGCATACTTTCGTCCAGGTCGCTTTTACACCCTCCCAAAAATTCATAAGCCTGGTAACCCAGGTTGACCAATCATATCAGGCATCGATACAATAACTGAACCCATATCAGGGTACGTGGACAAACTAATAAGCCACATTCCATGCACCCTCGCGTCGTACATAAAATACACCACACATTTTCTTCGAGACATTGCAGGTCTGTGTGTGCCAAAAAACTCGTACTTGGTTACTCTTGATGTCTCTTCATGGTATACAAATATTCCTCACGATGACGGCATAGCTGCATTACAAAACATGTACACAAACAATAGACAATCTAACACCCCAGATTTCTCTGCCATCGCAACTTTGACGAGGATGGTCCTCGAATTAAATTCATTCGAGTTTAACCAAGAGTATTTTCTACAAATAAGCGGGACCGCTATGGGCACCAAAATGGCACCTAATTAAGCTAACATATTTATGGGAAAGCTAGAATCTGAATTTCTTGCACAAAGTTCCTTGAAACCAATGTTATACAGAAGACACATAGACGACATCTTTCTTATTTGGAGCCACAGCGAGGACGAACTTCTCAGCTTTATCGACACTTACAATGCTGTACATCCGAACATACACTTCATACACACATACTCGCAAGTAACCGTAAATTTTCTTGATGTTACCATAACGATAGAAGAAGAGAAGCTCTCTACAACCCTATATCGTAAACCAACGGATCGACAACAATACCTCCATTACCAAAGCGATCACCCATGCCACTGTAAAAACAGCATTCCATACAGCCAGGCTCACCGGTTTAAGCGAATCTGCTCTAGAGACGCTGACTTTGACACGAGCTCACAGAGGCTAAAACTTATGCTCGAGAAACAAAAATACCCCCCACATGTAATTAATGACGCTGTTCAAAAAGCGAGAAAACTAAAGCGTGAAGACTTACTTATGAAGCGACCACCGCAAGAAGACCCACAACGACCAAACCTCTGCTTGACTTACAGCACAAACTTCCCAATGTAAACAAAATCCTTAAACGACAGTACAACATTCTGGAACAAAGTGAACGTCTGCAACGCGCATTTCTGTCTGCTCCAGGCGTCGTTTATCGACGACCACGTAACCTCAAAGACACACTTGTCCACTCTCAAATTAACACATCACCCCCCACTAATTCATGTCGATCTTGTTTAAAGCCATGATGTCTTATATGTAAGGTGTTGCGAGAAACACACAAAGCAACCAGCACACAATCCAAGTTTTCAATTAACATACGAGGAAACCTAACATGCGATTCCTCTAATGTGGTATACCTACTCGAATGCAACGTGTGTGGTATGCAGTACATCGGACAAACAGAAACACCATTTAGGATTCGCTTCAATAATCACAGAGCCCATGCGAAATCAGCCCCAAGTCTACCTCTATCAAAACATCTAAATCTTCCCGACCATGCATTCGACAAACTATCAGTAACGCTCTTAGAGACGGGATTTAAATCAAACCGAGAACGTGAACAACGAGAGTCATACCTTATCCACC